TATGAACAACTATTTGAGCAACTTGTTGTCTGAGAAATATATGAGCTTTTCTCATGGAAACTCGACAACTTCACGAATTAGTTACATGGGTCTCCCCCAGGGCTTTATAATTTTTTATGTAAAAAAAATGGATGGTTGTCTTGATGAAAATTGCTCGCTTACAGATGATGGCGATGTTTCTGTCACTGGGCCAAGTGCACCGGACCTGCAAGGACCATTGCAATATACCTTAGACAATTTGTCTACTTGGGCTATGAATATATGGTATCGAATTCTCTCCGGAGAAAACTGAGTTGGTTGTTTTTTTCTAGGAAGCATCATCCTGCACAGTTACAGGTTCAACTAAAGGGTAGAACAATCACTCAAAATATATCTTTCAAGTATTTAGGTGTCTGGTTCGATTCCAAAAGCACGTGGGGAAAACACATTGCGTATGTGAAACAAAAATGCCAACAAAGAATCAATTTTCTTCGTACAATTACCGGAACTTGTCGGTTCTAAAGTACGGTAGCTTCTGAAAATCCGCGGCAAAAACACACATCCTGAAGCTACAACGGGTTCAATACCGTTGCCTCCGAATCGCGCATGGCTGTATGCACTCGACGCATACGATGCGCCTCGGAGTACTCGCGGGTGTTCTCCCACTGACAGATCGTTCCGCGGAACTGTTCTTCCGGTTTCTTATCCGTTTTGAAGCAATGAACCCATTGGAAATAGAAAACTTTGAGAAGCTACTCGACAGAAATCCTAAAACAAGATTCATGAGTTTGTAATATGAGTACATGGAGGTTGGTCCTTCTTCATTCAATTCCTCTCGTGTTTGCCTTCAAGACTTAAATAGTTCCTCTGTAAATTTTGATCTGAACATGTTGCAAGAAATCCGTGGAATACCAGATCACCATCGGGCGATGGTTATTCCCATAATTTTTGCAAACAAGTACCACCATGTAAATAACAATAAGAGTTTTTTCACAGATGGGTCAACTATAAACGCTTCCACTGGATTTGGAGTATTCAACGAATTTCATAGCACCTCATATCAACTGCAAAAAGCCTGTTCCGTATACTTTGCGGAACTAGCAGCCATATTCTACGCAGTAGAGCAAATTGCCTCACTACCATCTGATCACTATTTTATTTTAACTGATAGCCTTAGCTCGTTGGAGGCTATTCGATCAATGAGGCCGATGAAGCACTCCTCGTATTTCCTGACCGAAATCCGAGCTAAATTGAGTACTTTATCTAACTGCTCCTATACTATCACCTTAGTTTGGGTCCCATCTCATTGCTCAATTCCGGGTAATGAGAAAGCGGACTCGCTAGCTAAGGTGGGCGCTATGGAAGGCGATATTTTTGATCGACAAATCGCCTTTGCGGAATTTTTCTTAATTACCCGTCAGCACGTCCTCACCAACTGTTATTGCTCAGTTCACACCCTGGCAGGCTACTGCCTACCGATCTGCACTTAAGCCAGGCATGAACCTACGGAAATTTAGTCGTTGCCTATGCTAGACCGTATTGGAAGATTGCCGCAAAAGCTCAACGCAGATGTCGCCACTGCATGATGATGATAATGTTGACAGACTGCTTATAAAATTCGTGAAAATTAGCATTAAATCATAATTTTCATCAAGCCTGCGTGAAATCCTTCCAATATAACATTCGAATTGAAGAAGAAAACGTTTTTACGATCAGACTGATGTGCATTTTTGACTTTTCCAGGTGAACTTTCATAAGATATATTCATTTCATTTCACGGCTCCATCAATGTTGCATCGTAAATATGATGATAAACAGAAGTAAATTGCTCAATTACTCAAAATAAAGATGATTTGTCATCTTGTTATCACTTTGAAGACCATCTAGCACCATTTTATAGCATGGTGCGTGTTGAGTAAATCAAGTTCCGGTGTGTTTTCCGTCGAAAATTGTGAGTATCAATATGTTTGCTTAAAAAGGCCAAAATGAACATTTATTGAATATTAGCGTCCTATACAACCAATTCTCTATTACCACCAGCATGATACAACCTTTCCTAAGTACATTCACCTAATTTCCCCTTTCATCTTAGTGAAAATCGCACATATTTACCATTTTCTGAAAAATGCAGCTGCGCAGGAGGTAACCTCTCCCTGTGGGTGCAAACTTGTTATGCATAATTTTCCATGAAAACATATCCGATCCATACCGAAATAATAACAAATAGTTTTCAAACACGTTTTCTTACACGATTCAAGCAAAAGTTTCCACGGGAAATTCTTAGTTTTTCTTTATGGACCGATTTGCCCCAAAAAGCGTCTGTTTTACTTGGAAAATTTGGAAACTATCCTCCTTCTAGTAGTTCTCACTTCGAAATGTAGGTGGCGAAAGCTTGGAAAAGTTTCACTGCAAGACGCCAATAGCACAACGACTTTCCTTTCACTAGCAGGCTTTTTGGTCCCACTAGCGTCCGATTAGGGGATAGTAAGAGATTAAAAGAATAAAGAAGAGAGATAGAGGATGTTGTTGTTTTGCTGAAAAAAAAAAACACGTTGGCTTGTTGTGCAACATCAAGTTTGTTCGCTTTCATTCCGTTCCAAGGGACAACGTCCATCGTCGTCGTACTAAAATACCTGGGAACATCCAGAGGTGCACAGCGCCAACGTGAAAGACTTCCATTCTGGGCAGCTGCTTGACCTGGGCCCAAGTCTAATTCCTATCGGCTTGCTTAATTTACTTGTTGACGCTCCGCCGCCTTAGTATTTGCCTTTGCTGCGATGTTCTGGCGGATTTAATTCATAATCAAACGCTTGCCTGCAGACTTCGTTTGTATTGCTATCGGCTTCTGATGACATTTACATCTGAGATCCATTTGTGAGGCCACCAGCCACAAGATATATACCGCAGGCAGCGGTTGATGAGACCTGCAGCTTTTGGGTGTTCTCCATTGGTGCTGCACAGATTCCACCTTTTAATCGAAGTTTCGAATTTTGGTACGTTCACCAATCTGATTTGATGTCCGCTTTTGTGTAAATGTCATATTATCACCGACCTTATTACCATCACCTTGGTGTGTGACATCAGGTGTACGCTCCTCTGTGTTTTCGTTACCAATGCAGTTAATTTGACACGTTTGTTGCATTCCCGTATGTCTCAATATTATTCTTGCTGAAGCACCGTCAAACCCACTATCCAGAGGCAGCGAGCCACCTTAACACCTGAAATTATACAAAAACAAATCAAACATTAGCACCAACCCCCCCTTCCTCGATTGCAACAGCTCCAAGCCATGCAACAGGATCATTTCGTGCCCCATGACAACTTGATCCAGTTGCATCCAGGTTCATTGTTTTGGCGCCAGCCGGGAGAGACTTGGTCCTGTACCAAATGCTTTCCTTGTCTCCATTCCGCTCAGCTACTCGCAATTGATTGTGATATAGTGGGCGGAATATTACAATGTGAGACAATTCAATGCAGACGTCTTCCAAATTTGGCCGATCGTCAGGTAATCAGTGGGTTACCACCTGGCACTTCTTAGCAAGCACTATGCTACGAAGCGGACCGGGAGTTTCAATGAACAACCTCCCCCAATTACCCGTCAGCACGTCCTCACCAACTGGCAACAAAAATGGAATGAGAGTGATCTGGGAAGATGGTTACATTCTATTCTCCCACAGGTATCGAACAAGCCATGGTTCAAAGGATTGGACATGAGCCGTGACTTTATACGTGTCATGTCAAGGCTCATGTCTAATCACTACTCGTTCTACTCGCATTTCTTCCGAATCGGGCTCGCAGGCAGCAATTTGTGCACTTGTGGTCGACCACGTGCTTTGGTCATGCATCCTCCATTGTGTTGCTAGATCCGAGTTATCCGCATCCCTCAGGGTCCGAGGAAAAAAGACATCTTGGCGAGCCGAGATCTCGATTATTTTAATTTAATTTATGTGTTTTTAAAACGGATCGATCTGAGGATTTAGTAGTTAGTGTCATCTTGTGTTCTCTCAAGTTGCTAGGTCTCCATCGGTGTACCCCCATGTTTGTCTTTTTCTCCAGTATGTCGCTTAGTTCTAGATCAAGAGCACATTGCTCTAAAAAACCTTGTGTTCTCAATCCCTACCCTGCCACCTGTTTGTTACAATTTGTTACCCCTAACCTCGAGATAGCCGCGAGTAATCGACCTCCGCTCTACTAACGTTAGTTTTAAGTAATTTTGTAACCCAAACGATAAATATCGGCTCCGCAAAGCTACGGCAAATGAGCCTGGAAAAATAAACGCATTAAAAAAAATAGAATGGGATACGTTAATCGATTTGCTTGGGACCAATAGGCTAGTCAAGTAGCGAGCCAATTTGAAATTGTTAGTTTCGAATTGATTGTTGGTATAACTGTGGAAGCAGGAAGTTGAGAGCAGGTAAAAGTCAGAAAGAAGAAGAGAATTTACGAAATTGACAAACTTAAACAACTTATAAGAGGTTCGGCGAACTACACAAATCTTAAAAGAGCTTAAGAGCGAAGTTCAAGGAGTTCCGGACGAGTAGGTACAAATAAACCCGAACAAGTAACATGGATCAATTCTCTTCATCGACTATCAGATAACATGAGCATGCATAAGGGCGTATAAGCGATGATCGATTCTCAACATCGATTTTCTCTTTGCATTACTACAGCTAAGCGAAACAATTTTCTAGAATTTGTTCAATGCAGAGTTGTAACAGGTTGTATTGGCTATGAAAAGCAACAGCAAACGCACCGAAAAACGTTAAATCTAGCGAGTTATTAACAAAAGAGAAAATCGACGAAGAGAATCGATCATCGCTTTTACGCCCTTATGTATGCGTGTTTGTCGTATTGACTGCTAGAAAATAGGTTCTTTCATCGAACTGTGTTTTGAAAACAGCTGGAAATGAGAATAATCAGGACCTGATTTAGAATTGAGTGAGCTTGGTGGAGCAAAATCGTTATTTTGAACCACCCTAATGTATATACCTTGAAGCCAGCAGCAATAATTATTCTAACCAAAGACACCTACGAAACCCAAACCCAAAGTTCATCTCAGCAACCAGCTTGGGCAGCAGTCAAAAAATTTCCTTCATTCAACTGTTCAACATGGAAGCGGTAGCATCATCGTCCAGTCAAGTTCCGATCCTGCGATCCGACGAGGAAGAAGATTTAATTCGTCAAATCTCCGGACTCGGCCTCAAAATCAAACAGATCAAGAATATCGCGTCCATGCCGCCGAATGTGCGGATCAAGATCGAAACGTTGAAAAAGATCCAGCTGGATCTACTGGACAAGGAAGCCGAATTCCACCAGAAGGTCCACTCGCTCGAGGTGGAATATCAGAAAAACTACGACGAAATGAACGAGAAGCGCCGCCAGATTGTGAATGGAATCTACATTCCCAAGCTGGAGGGCGTTCCGGAGTCGACCGATGACGCTGCTGATCAGGCGCAGGGAATCCCGGAATTTTGGTTGACCGTCTTCAAGATGACACCGGTTTTGCATGCAATGATTAGGGAGTCAGACGAGGAGGCCCTCAAGCGGCTGGTGGACGTTCGGACCCAGGTTAAAAGCGAACCGCAACCGCAATTTGTCCTGCAGTTCGAGTTTGAACCCAATGACTTCTTCGAGGATCGTATCCTGGAAAAGAAATATATGATGAAGTGCAGTCCCAACCCTGAGAAGCCATTTTCCTTCAACGGGTTCGAGATTTACGACACCGTTGGTCATGACATTCACTGGAAGGAGGGAGCCAACCTGACGAAGCTAGCGATGACGGACGATAATGGCCAAAAGCACGAGGTGTTGACCACTAGCTTCTTCAACTTCTTCAATCCGAAGCCCCTGTTTGAAGCGGATTCTATTTTGAACGTGCAATTCCTGGAAACGGACTTTGAGATTGGTTACTACATCAAAGAACGCGTCATCCCACGGGCAATTCTCTTCTTCATCGGCCAAATCGACGACGAATTCGATGACGTTTCCGACTCGGCGGACGAGGAAAGCATCCGAGGTGTTTACAATTTGGAGGAAGCACCGGAAGGAGCAGCGGCAAAGCGTGCCATTATCGAGGAAGAACCCCAAGACGAAGATCAATGATCTAGCTACTTGTGTTATGTCGATTGTTTGTTTAATAAACAGTTATAAATAATTTAAATTCGAGACGATCCGATTTTGTTTTTAATTTTTGATCACCCCCACCCTACCCCTTCTCTACGAGAAGACTCATTTTCGTTGATACGTAGAATAATAATAGAAAAACAACACTCACCCTTGACTTTCGAGCACTTCCTCCAGTTCGGCACACTTCACCTCGACCTTACGCTTCCGCTCGTGGTCCAGGATGCCCTGATTGGGCTGCCGGTTGGACTGGGCGTCCAGCTTGGCCAAATCATCCTCCGTCCGGTAGTTGACGTTATCTTTCTTCCCCGGCCGCACGAAGGCTACGTTTCGCTGTACGTGCCCATTTGTGCCGGATCCGCGGGGTGTTACCAATCCGATTCCGTTGTACATGTTTGCTAATCCACTGTTTTGAAATATACACCAACTTCACCACCAAATCAACATGCTCTGAATATTTTTCACCCGACACTCGTTCCTTCTTCCTGGGGATTTTTTTTAACACTCCGATTTGCTCCAAGAGCAGCTCCGCTGCCGCAGCACCAACAGCAGCAGCGGTAAGAAAATCGATCGATGCCGAATCGAAACCACTGATCAAAACAATGGGCCCCAATTTCCGGGCGAATCACACTTCCCGCCGGGCACTTTTCACTGTGAGCACCACCGAGAACCGACCGGGTACCGAATTCGGATGCAATTGAACGCGAAACGTTTGCAATTACCACCGTGGGAGTAAAGTTAATTAGCAGGAGCGTGTTGGTAAATCGTGTTCCACTGTTCGGCCATCACGCAGTGCAACGAGCGAACGACGAGTAAAATCTTCCGCAAATGACGTTTTGAAATGTTTGGCGTCGGTGTGTGCGTGTGTTTTGGATGGAGGAAAGTGAGCGACTTTCGCGGAAATTTACACAACGCAGTGTGAGAGTCTTCAGCGAGCGGGGTGACATCTGGTTGTGAATGTAGAGCGTGTTCGTGACAACGAAAATGCATCGACGCGCCATCTGTTGCTCATCGGTCACATCGTAAAAACTCCCTTTGATCGACGGCTATAAACGCCCAAAAGGGAAATTTAGATTGGTAGCATGGCGTTGTACCGTCTTCCGCCGCGCCCTGTTATAAAAGTCGAAGAGTGACAGGAGTCATCCTCTTTCGCTACAGCGACGTCATCAAGCATCATCATAATTGAAGTGGAACCAAAACAAACAGAAGAAAGTAGTGAATTGAATTTAAACCCGTAGTTTATTGCCTTTTGTAATTAGGTGAAATATAGTAATTTTAAATAGAATATAGACAAAGTAAAGTGCATTTCAAGTCCAGTGATCGCGTGTGAACACTTACCTTTCGAAGGATTGGTCCGCCATCCGAAAGTACCTACAAAGGAAAGAAAAAAAGTGAGTGAAAACTTTACCTGTCCGTGCGCCGACCTGGAAGTCATCGGTTGAGACAATTTTTCTGCTGCTGCTCGCTGTGCTCCCGACATTTGGTCCTTCGAGCCGGATAGCGTCGAATCTCCGCTAGTCCGATAGTCCAGCGCCTAGTGAGCCGCCATCGCACATTCGCTATTGTGCCCACTGAAGAATCGCTTCTTATCGCCATTGTCCCAGCTGAACAATCTGCTACGGAACGCCATCTTCCTGCTTGGTTGCTGCTGTTATCAAATTCAAGGCAAATTAATTGCCTCAACAAGGTAATTAGGTTTCCAACTACTTTTACTTTCTGTTTGTGTGCTACGCTGGTCCATTGTCCACAGATTTCGCTGCAATGTCGACCGAGCGCCGTATCAAGACGCTAAAGATGCGGCTGAAGAGTATAGTGACGTCGCTGAACCTCATTAAGACCTTCGTAGACGATTACGATGAGGAGACGCAGGCTGACGAAGTCCCTGTCCGTCTTGAGAGCCTGATCAAGTTGTGGTCAGACTATAATACTTTCCAAAGCGAGCTGGAGACGCTCGATGAAGCTGCCATCGAGGCCCATCTGAAGGAGCGGGCGTCGCTTGAGTCCGCTTATTATCACGTCAAGGGCTTTCTGTTGGCCCGAAATAAAACGCCAATTACACCAACTCGCCCGTTTCCTAATCATTCAGAAACGCAATTCCTTCCGTCGGCATCGCAGGTGCGTTTGCCCGACGTTAAACTCCCTGTCTTCGATGGCAAATTGGAAAACTGGCTTAACTTCCACGATTTGTATGTGTCGCTGGTCCACTCAGCTGTTGGTCTCTCGAATATCCAGAAGTTTTATTACCTCCGATCATCATTATCGAACACAGCTCTTCAACTCATCCAAACGATCCCAATATGTGCGAACAATTACCCGGTGGCATGGAACCTTCTGCTGGAACACTTCCAAAACCCTGCTCGGCTGAAGCAGGCGTACGTAGACACTCTCTTCGATTTCGCTTCTATCAAAAGAGAAACGGCAACGGAACTCCACAGTCTGGTGGAGAAATTCGAGGCAAACGTCAAAGTTTTGCAGCAATTAGGTGAACGCACGGAGTATTGGGATATTTTGCTCATCCGTATGCTCAGCACTCAACTGGATCCGACGACAAGGCGAGATTGGGAGGAGTACTCTTCGACCAAACCAGCGATCACTTTCAAAGACCTGACATCTTTCATCCAGCGACGAGTTACGGTGCTGCAATCCATCCAGGCCAAGCCCATCGAAGCTCAATCGTCGACCGTTCAGAAGAAGCCAGTTCAGCGATCCGTCTCGAGCCACGGAGCCAACCAGGTCAATCTTCGGAAGTGTGTCGTCTGCTCAGACCATCACCCTTTGTACATGTGTGGAATTTTTTCGCAGCTTTCAATAGAAGAAAAGGAGAAAGAGATACGCCGTCATCAACTCTGCCGAAATTGTCTTCGAAAGGGTCACCTATCAAGGGATTGTTCGTCATCTACCAACTGCCGAAAGTGTCGTGGACGTCATCACACGCAGCTATGCTCGAACGATTCCTCTTTTTCGTCGAACTCGAAGCCAGTCCAGCATCCGAAACCTGCTACACCTACTCCAGCTACCATTCCTCCGACCATGTCCTCATCTGTTACGGTCGTCGAATCCATCAGTTACGCTTCCGCTGGCCATAAGAAGAAGACAGTTCTCCTTGCCACTGCTATGATCATCTTAATCGATGACAACGGGGTCGAGTACGTTGCCCGCGCACTTCTGGACTCAGGAAGTGAATGCTGCTTCATCACGGAAAGGTTTTCGCAGCGCATCAAGGCTCAGAGGAAGAAAATCTATCTTCCAATCTCCGGAATCGGTCAAGCGTCCACTCAAGCTAGGCTTAAGTTTTCATCCACAATCCGCTCTCGAGTTGGCACGTACTCCACCAGCGTCGAATTTCTCGTTCTACCCAAGGTGACCATCGATCTACCAGCCACTTCCGTTGATACTTCAACTTGGGACATGCCACCCAGCATTCAACTCGCAGATCCGTCGTTTGACAGCACCAATCCCATCGATGTCATAATTGGAGCTGAAATTTTCTTTGACTTGTTCAAGGTTCCTGGACGCATTCCTCTCGGCGACAATCTTCCGGTATTGGTCAATTCCGTCTTTGGTTGGGTAGTAGCTGGGAAATCTACAATGAGTCCGTCTACCGCTCTCGTCGTTGCAAACGTCGCTACCGTCGCAGATATCCATCAGCTCATGGAAAAGTTCTGGACAATCGAGGAAGACAGCACATCGACAGCGTACTCCGTCGAAGAAGCTGCCTGCGAGGAACATTTTTCTCGTACTGTAGCTCGTACTCCAGAAGGACGCTACGTAGTCCGCTTACCGTTCAAGGAAGAGGTCATAAATCAAGTTGGCGACAACCGTCGTACCGCTGTTCGTCGATTCCACCTGCTTCAAGGTCGTCTAATCCGCAACCCCGACCTTCACCAGCAGTACAAGGCTTTCATCGACGAGTATCTCGACCTCGGACACATGAAGCGCATTCATGATTACGAAGACCCAGAGGTACAGCACTATTACCTCCCACATCACGCTGTGATACGAGAGGAAAGCACGACGACGAAGTTACGGGTCGTCTTTGATGCCTCGTGTAAAACCCCGAACGGACCTTCGCTCAACGACGCTCTGATGGTTGGACCAACGGTGCAAGAGGACATCCGATCGATCACGATGCGCTCCCGAAAGCATCAAGTCATGGTAGTTGCTGATGCCAAGATGATGTACCGTCAAGTTCTCGTCGACCCTCGTGACTGCCGAGTCCAACTCATCGTCTGGAAACCATCACCGGACCATCCGATGGAGACATATCAACTGAATACCGTAACGTACGGTACTGCCAGCGCTCCTTTCCTCGCCACTCGGGTACTGATCCAACTTGCCGACGACGAAGGTCAATGTTTTCCCCTTGCAGCCAAAGCTCTGAAGAAAGACGTCTACGTTGACGATCTCTTTTCCGGCGGAAGAAACGCAGCAGAAGTAATTGAACTCCGGAACCAGCTAGATGCACTCCTAGCAAAAGGCGGATTTCAACTTCGCAAGTGGGCTTCAAACGATGAGGCAGTACTCAAGGGAATTCCACCTGAAAATCGCGCACTCAAGACTTCCGTAGACCTCGATCGAGATCAGGTCATCAAAACTCTCGGGCTACATTGGGAACCAGCCTCAGATTGCCTGCGATACAAAATCGACCTACCATCTGATACAGCAGACCAACCTGTTACTAAACGAATCGCTCTTTCGCTCATCGCCCGTCTCTACGACCCGCTTGGCTTAGTGGGACCTGTCGTAACTGCTGCCAAGGTTTTCATGCAGAACCTGTGGAAACTGAAAGACGACAGTGGATCTTCGTGGAGTTGGGACAAGGAACTACCGATGGAGTACCAGATCCATTGGACAAATTACCAGTCTAAATTGCCGCGACTCAACGAACTTCGCATCGAACGCTGTATTCTGCAACCCGAACCTGCAACGATCCAGATCCACATCTTCGCTGATGCCTCGCAGCTTGCCTATGGAGCCTGTGCATACGTCAGATCCACTAATGCATCTGGAATAGTTAAGGTTGCGCTCCTCACTGCAAAATCAAGAGTAGCACCTCTAAAAAGGCAATCGATTCCTCGACTCGAGCTCAGTGGAGCACTACTGGCAGCGCAACTCTACGAAAAGGTTCAGTCATCGCTCCGTCTCGACGCGAAATGCTACTTCTGGCTCGATAGCACCGTCGTACTCTGCTGGCTCAACGCATCTCCTTCTACTTGGAACACGTTCGTTGCCAACCGAACATCTAAGATCCAGCTCACCACCCAGAATAGCTCGTGGAATCATGTCGCTGGTCTAGAAAATCCTGCGGACTGCATTTCACGTGGGATAACTGCAGACACTATAATTGATTTTGACATCTGGTGGCAGGGACCTGAATGGCTTCGGCAACCTCAAGATTGCTGGCCAGTAGCTGGAAGTACACAAGATCAACCTTCTGAGGCGTTGGAAGAAGCACGTCGAATCTCCCTAGCAGTATCGTCGTCACCAAACGAACCGTCATTCGTCGACCTGCTCGTCGAAAAATTCTCCGAATACCATTACCTTTTGCGTGTGGTCGCATACTGCCGTCGTTTTCTTCAAAGCTGTCGAAAACAATCCAGTGGACTGCCAAATTCTACTCTGCTGAAAGTAGAAGAGATGTTAGAAGCGGAGAGAATACTCATCAGATTGGTTCAACAACAAGCCTATAGCGAAGAGTGGAAGCAGCTTCAACAGTCGGAACCAGTATCGATGAAATCTCGCCTCAAGTGGTTCCACCCGTTCATCTCGTCAGAGAAGGTAATTCGCATCGGTGGCAGATTGGAAAAGGCAGAACAACCATACGATAGCAAGCATCAAATTCTCCTGCCAGCATCGCACAAACTTTCGCTGCTTTTGGTTCGCAGCTATCACGAACGGCATCTCCACGCAGCTCCACAATTGCTCCTCAATCTACTTCGGCAACGGTACTGGATCATAGGGGCCAGGAACATGGCCAAGCGTGTGGTTCACACCTGTGTTACTTGCTTCCGAGCACGCCCTCGAATGCTGGAGCAATTTATGGCCGAGCTTCCTGCGTCAAGAACTACTGCAAGTCGACCCTTCACCATTACAGGAGTAGACTATTGGGGACCAATTTCACTCAAGCCTATACATCGTCGTGCTGCACCCGGGAAAGCTTACGTTGCCGTGTTTATTTGCTTCTCCACGAAAGCAGTACATCTGGAACTTGTAGCAGATCTCAGCACACCGAAATTTTTACAAGCGCTTCGTCGGTTCGTGTCTCGCCGTGGCCTTTGCTCCGATCTACACAGCGATAATGGTCGAAACTTCGTTGGAGCGAATAATGAACTTCGGGATCTCGTTCGCAACAAGGAGCATCGCAATGCTATCGCACAAGAATGCAATCTGCAAGGAATTCGTTGGCACTTCAACCCTCCTAGAGCATCCCACTTCGGCGGGCTATGGGAGGCCGCAATAAAGTCTGCTCAAAAGCATTTCGTGCGGGTCCTCGGAAAGCACACTCTTGCCTACGACGAAATGACTACGCTACTGTGCCAAATCGAATCCTGTCTGAACTCTCGACCGATTGTTCCACTGAGCGATGATCCTAGCGACTTTGAGCCACTCACTCCGGGACACTTTTTAACGGGATCCGCCCTCAAGGCTGTTCCAGACGTCAATTACATTGATATCCCAACGAATCGACTTCGACAGTGGCACCTGGTCCAAAAACTTTTCCAGGAATTGTGGAAAAGATGGCACTTGGAGTACCTTTCCACACTGCAGCCACGTACAAAATGGTGCAATCCACCTATTCAGCTGCAGCAAAACCAACTTGTTGTTCTTCGCGACGAAAACACTGCACCAATGCACTGGCAGACCGCTACAATCGACCAGGTTCATCCCGGTTCAGATGGAGTCATCAGGGTAGTAACGGTCCAAACACCAACCGGCCGTTACGTTCGCCCGGTATCAAAAATTTGCCTTTTACCAGTGCAATCATCGTCCGACCAAAACCAACCACCACAGATGTAAACATCAACACTGCAGCCACCCAGCTACTTGCATTCCAAAATTCACCTTCAACGATAGTATTCCGAAGTTCACGACTATCCGTTCACAACAGGAGCATCTGTAATTAAAAATCAATGCCTTTCATTAGAAAGGACAAGGTAAGCACCTGTCCAATCTAATAATTTATATCAAACCCCGCTACCGGGTCTTATGTTTGCAGACCATTTTTCTATCGTCGACTTTCGTGTATAAACAAATCGTCCGTCGAAGCTTCATCGATCGTATAGCAGTGACAGTCCCGATGCGAGAAAGAGACCGGTAGCAGAGCAGCTGATCATCGAGTATACACGTCAGAAACGAAGTTCCTGAAGGGGCCAGTATGTTCGTGACAACGAAAATGCATCGACGCGCCATCTGTTGCTCATCGGTCACATCGTAAAAACTCCCTTTGATCGACGGCTATAAACGCCCAAAAGGGAAATTTAGATTGGTAGCATGGCGTTGTACCGTCTTCCGCCGCGCCCTGTTATAAAAGTCGAAGAGTGACAGGAGTCATCCTCTTTCGCTACAGCGACGTCATCAAGCATCATCATAATTGAAGTGGAACCAAAACAAACAGAAGAAAGTAGTGAATTGAATTTAAACCCGTAGTTTATTGCCTTTTGTAATTAGGTGAAATATAGTAATTTTAAATAGAATATAGACAAAGTAAAGTGCATTTCAAGTCCAGTGATCGCGTGTGAACACTTACCTTTCGAAGGATTGGTCCGCCATCCGAAAGTACCTACAAAGGAAAGAAAAAAAGTGAGTGAAAACTTTACCTGTCCGTGCGCCGACCTGGAAGTCATCGGTTGAGACAATTTTTCTGCTGCTGCTCGCTGTGCTCCCGACAGAGCGATTTGAGGAAATTGGAAATTACTCGCAGAAGTTCGGAGTAAATTGTGATTAGGGCGAAACCAGCAAAATTTAAACCAATGGAGAGTCATCAGCAATCAGATCACAGAGAACAGACGTTCAAGCTCGGTCAGAAACTTGTGTAAAATAAGTGGGAACGTCGCCGTTACGTGGTGTTAGCATCTCCTGATTTTCTCTATAAATTTTCCACTTTCGACCAATTTGGCGCTAGTATCTATAAATTTCTGTTGAAAATTGCCACTTGGCGCTACTAGCACTTAGTGTCTAGTGTAATTTGTGCAACGCCAGCGCCATCATGTTGTCAAAGAGGGTTTTTAAGTGGGGAAGTCGCCGTTAGTGGCGCTTAAGTCAAATAGAAATCTTTACACAAGTTTTCAGAGAAATTTTGTTCGAGCCTCCATGTCTGTTCTCTGTGATCAGATGGAGCAGGAAAAGATCAACTAACAAATATCCCCAAACATTTTTTTTAAGTGTTCCACTATCGAAAAATCCGTGCAAAGTGAAACAATATTTATTTCTAATCAATCTTAAAAATGGATTACGCTCTTTCCTTGGTTTGGAATAGTACAGGCACAGACAAACAGACATAAAACTCGCAAGTTGTTTATCGAACAAGCATTTAACGGTCAATTTAAAAGTATCGTAGTTGGTAGTACCATAGAGGTAACTCTAAGACCACTGGGTCCCGAAGAAAATCATTATTATTTTTGGCTCACTCAGTACCAGAACAACGGTCCCAAGCAGTCCCAAGCTATTTCACTCACCCCTGCATGTTCTGCATGAATCCACACACCCCTGATGTTATCTGTCAAACTTTCATAGCGAATCAAAACAAACATAGTGTAGTAATAGAATTTCAACTAGAATAGGGTACGTTAATCGTTTGCTTGGGACCAATAGGCTACTAAAGTGGTGAGCCAATTTAAAATCGTTAGTTTCGTATTGATTGTTGGTAGTACCGCCACCTGTGGCGCGCATATTCAATTGCCTTGCGTTTGACGTTTACACACTACCGCTATCTGTTCAGCGTACTACCAACCACAGTTTATTCAACAGATGGTGGTAAAGTTTTAGCGACGATGTTTTACAGTGATAAATATTCAACGTGTTATGTCTGTTCGTCTGTGGTACAGGGTTGAATTTGAGCGGGGTTCTCCTTGTTTATGCTCTTTAGTACACTCAGAAAAATTTACCGTCGAAATAAACATATTTGAGGCAAATTTAAACGTAAACTCAGTTATTTTAAACATGTTTAATGTTAAAAAAAAAAACATATTTTGAAATTATTGTAGCATTTGAATGCGAGATAAAACCAAATATTTAAAATGGGTAGCAAATAAATGGAAATCGGCAGGCAGGGCATCTATCTCGGCATCTATATTCCTGCTATTTTTCGGTGCGATTAAGGGTGGTCTATGGGTGTTGGGATCCAGGTCAAAGATCCGAGGGCTATCGGAGTGGGTGTCCGGGGGTTCCATTTCAGTAAAACCGGTGAAACTTTGTGATATTAGCGTCGTTTTGTCGTTTCTGACGCTGGTCTTCATACCGGCCTCTTTCTACGTTTGGTGTTGGGGGATTATCTGTTTTTCTTCGACGTCGAGTTGGGGTGAGGATTATATGGGGATCGGCATCAGAAACGAAGAAGTGACGTTGATATTGTGGGCTTCCACCGGTTTTGTCGAGCTTGGAACATTCACCCCTATTCTTATTTTCGTTCGAACCGTATTTTCTACACAAAAAAAAAAGTTTTTTTGTATGGAAAATACGGTTCGAACGAAAACAAAATATAGGTGGTTCCGTGTATGACTATGATTGCCCTGAACCATTTGATATGAATTTTAGTTGGGACATGTTAAGAAATTTAGCTCTTGGAAAATCTTGGTGGCCCTTAAAAGGGCCTGATTGGGCACTCGCAAGAGTCTCGGCCCGTCTGCTGCTCGACAGGGGTTGAACTGGTGTCTGGGACAGGTTGGAAGGGCGCAGAATATCAGTGTCCACCCAGCTAATGCTCCTCCCCTTTTTAGTTTTTCTCGTTTAACCCCTTTTCTCAACAAGTTGGTAAATCCACAGAGCACAGACATTGAGACTCGAACAAAATTTCTCTAAAAACTTGTGTAAAGATTTCTATTTGACTTAAGCGCCACTAACGGCGACTTCCCCACTTAAAAACCCTCTTTGACAACATGATGGCGCTGGCGTTGCAAAACTTACACTAGACACTAAGTGCTGGTAGCGCCAAGTGGCAATTTTCAACAGATAATTTATCAATACTAGCACGCAATTGGTCGAAAGTGATAAATTTTTAGAGGAAATCAGGAGATGCTAGCGGTACGTAACGTCGACGTTTCCACTTAACTTTACACAAGTTTCTGATCGAACTTGGACGTCTGTTCTCTGTGGTAAATCTTAACCTTTAGCAGAAAGACGCTTAACACTTTTTTCGGCGAATTTATGATCCTGTTTCACGTCAAGGTTCTTCTCTATCCAGTATGTTACGATCGCTTATGGCCGCCACAATCTGGCTGAGTTTCTGGTAGGGAACATAAGATTTGAAGTTTGGCTTGTGTCGTTTGACGCGTAAGCGATCAAATTTGAACGTTTACACGTCAAACGACACAACCCAAACGTCAAATCATATGTTCCCTACCAAAAACTCAGCCAGATTGTGGCGGCCATAAGCACTCGTAAAATTCTGGATACCTGTTCAGATAAATTAGTACTTTTATTTATTTTCTCTACTGCACTTAATCAAACGAGTAGAAATAAGAAGGGATGACGGTTACGCGAATAATTGAAAATTCGATAAATATTTAAACGAATAGCTGGAAAAATCTTTACGATTAATCGTTAATCGAATAATTTGACTTTAAGGCATCCATAGAAAATAGTGTAATTTCATGTTTTTTGTGGTCCTTCGAAAATGTCGAATAGCAGAATTGCAACCAGCAAGTGTGACCCAAGAACCAAAAGCGGTGCGATGCTAGTTTATAGAACAAATTCGATGCTAGTTTATAGAACAAATTCATTAAGTTAAGATAACAATTCTAATAGTTACTTTCACATGGAAAAATATTGTTGTTTGAAAGAAACCTATAGTTATTCCAACATTAATTTGACCGTCAACTCAATCATATCTACCTAATAGATTCAACTGTTCATCTTATACTCAATTCAACTTTAACTTTGATCAATTATAACAACCGTCAAATGTAATTTATTTATATAATTTAGTTTCAAGTGATCATCATAAATCCACTTACTTTTAACTAGTAATACGTAGAGCAAGCGATAAGATAGCTGGCTCTCACGCAGATGAACACGGTTCAAATCTAAGTTGAATGTTCTTGTTCACTTTTTTATGATTTTGCAGTTGTGTTTTTGAGATCGATAAAGAAGCAAAACAAACTTCCTTAATATGTCGATAATGAAGAGCAGTTCGTTTAATAAACATTGTAAAATTTTGCTTTTCTAACAATAGTTTTCTTAAATCAACTAAAGCATTGTTGTATTTTGAAGTTTGACGTTTGTTCATCTATTGAAAAATATAGTTGAGCCAATCGAGGAGCCAACTATGGACTATAGTTGTTGCTCTCTATATATAGTCAAATCAACTATAGTTTCGGGTTATCTCTAAAACAATTGAACATATAGTTATTTTAACCGGAAAAATAATTGCGTCTGCTATAATTTGTTCTCCGTGTGACGACGACTGAATTAAGGGGCTTAGAATCAGAGGGGTGAAAGTCAATTCTCTTCATCGATTTCCTGTTTTGATGACCATGGCTTCACTAAACTATTTCGCACTATTTCCACAGAGAACAGACGAACTAAATTTCTTCAAAAACTTGTTTAAAGATTCCTATTCGACTTCAGCGCCACCAACGCCAACTTCCCCACTTAAAACCCCTCTTTGACAACATAATGGCGCTGCAAAACTTACACTAGACACTAAGTGCCGGTAGCGCCGAGTGGTAATTTTCAACCGAAAATTTATCGATACTAGCGCCAAATTGGTCGAAAGTGGAAAATCTATACAGGAAATCAGGAGATGCTAGCGCTACGTAACGGCAACGTTCCCACTTATCTTTACACAAGTTTCTGGTGGA